AAACTCCCGAGTTTCCTTTTTGGGGTCTTAAAATTTGTGTAGATTTTGATTTAAGAGATTCGAAAAAATGGAGAATATGAAGCAACTAAATGAAATTATATTTTATAACAAATGTTGATTTAAAAAAAACTGCCTAACCCCATTCTTGAAACCCGGGTTCCAAAACTGGTTTTCATGACGATACTCTTGTCTTAAGTTTTGGGCTCTGGGGTTAACCTATTCTTGAAGAAATGGAAAAATTATCTGAGCCGGCGATTTAATAAATGCAAGAAATTACGATTCAGGTCGAAGCTGTCGTCGGGCCTTATTTACGACTTGAGCTTTCGAATTTTCACTGCATTCTTTTTTCATAGAATTTTGTTCAAAAACCGGTTTTAGATGAAAACCCGATTTAACATATAATTGGCGGATGTTCATGGTAGGAATTTGCGCATTTCGGGTTTTTATAATTAAAAGACTTACCATCGAGCCTTTTCTCCAATAAAATCAACCAAGGTCGGTTTTATTTTCATTGGGCCTAACTCCTAAGTCGAGCCTATGATCTTTTGATTGTCAATTACGTGACAAAAGCTGTCATCAGAGTTGATTCTAAGATTGGGTCTTAAAACTGGTTTATGGAATTATGACTCGAGCCGAAGCTTCTTAATCGCGGGCTTTGGGGAATTAAGATTTTTTTAGAACATCTACAATTATTAATATTCTTGATACAGCCATGTAAAGGGTTCTCGTATTCCAGGACAAGGAAGGAATTCCCCCAGATCAGCAGAGATTGATCTTTGCTGGAAAGCAGCTGGAGGATGGAAGAACTCTGTCCGATTACAATATTCAGAAGGAATCTACTCTTCATCTGGTTCTCAGGCTTAGAGGAGGTATGCAGATCTTCGTCAAGACCTTGACCGGTAAAACCATCACCCTGGAGGTCGAGGCAAGTGATAGCATCGAGAACGTGAAGGCTAAAATTCAGGTAATGCAGGATCTTTAATCATACAATTATCAAAATGTTTTAAAGCAACCAAAGGATATCTGTTAGATAAAAATATTCAAACAAAGTACTTAAGATATTGATGATTAACCCCTAGAATTTTCTAGAACAATTACTTTCGTCATGTATTGAAAATTCACTTACGAAATAGGAAAATCTGGGTAAAGCCGTCATTAGTTTTAACAAATCCGACCAATCACAGATAAGAAAGTCATTCAATCCACCAATAGGAAAGCTAGCTGTGTCCCAGCGGGTATAAATTCTTTATCAGCTGGCAGTCCAACCCAGTCGCAATCAATAATTCTAAGGAAGAAGATACTTACAAACCTTATAAATCAAGAACAAAGAGAATGCAAATTTTCGTCAAGACCCTCACCGGGAAGACTATTACGCTTGAGGTCGAGGCCAGCGATAGCATCGAGAATGTTAAGGCTAAGATTCAGGTATAATTATTCAATTTGTTTTCTCTAAAATTAGTTCCAGCTATTTTATTAATATTCTGTACACATTTTTTTGTAAGTTATTCAAGTCCCAGCATATATAGATTTTCCAAGATATGTAACTGAAATTGATAGTAATTACCCAGAGAACGATATTTGGACTCTCCCCCTTCTCTTCAAATTATACATATTTTAAAATTTATTATGTGGCCGCAGCGCTCGGCCCAGATAGTCTCTTAATTAACCAAACCTATTCTTAAAACATTAAAAAATTTTAGTTCAAAATTGAAATCTTGTCCAGTTTTTATCATTTGATATATTTGGTCATAATTCCTATATATGGAGGAGGAGGGGGGGTTGTAGAGGGGGGTATTTAATCGAGTTATCAACTTGTACGCATTTAATAAATACAGACATACAATTGAAAACTAAATTCTACTAAAACGTAGCAAAGAGCCTATTGATATTGCCTCAAACTTACAGTTTGTCTAAGTCGTTAATATTTGAATTGAACTTAGACCGCACTGTGTAGAGCTGCCTGCCTTAGTATTTAGTATTCAGAAATAACTTTTGTTTTTAAATCGCAGCTTGGCCTAATGCGTTTTTTTTTGATTGTATCGATTCAGTCCAGGAAGTAAGGAATAGAAGGGAGATACAACTGACGCGGTTCACCCTACCATATGAAAATGCATGCTAAGCAGAATATATCATTAGAATATGAAATATTCAGAAGAGGTTATTGTACACGCGGTATTTGTACATGGAACAAATATTTCTTATTCAAATAAAGTATCGTCTGCATGTATTCTTTACTCCCTGAGCCCAAAATTTAAAAGAGTATCGTTCCCCCTCTCAGCTTTCCACATTTTTAAAAGAAAAGAATCATCTGAGCAGTTTCTTCCAGTATTTATTTAAATCAATAGTAACCTTGTTTAAACTTTGATTATGAAAATCTTAGGACATAAACCAGATACACATAAGTATGAATGCATTTTTGGCGTAAAATTATTTAATTAATACTGCTTACGAAATTTTCTGTCTCGCCCTGAAAATGGGTTAAAAAGGAACAAAATAACGTAATTGTTTTAAGATCTATGAACACGAGTTAAAGGTCTCTAGGATATATATTAGGATGCTATTTTTCTATATGACTTGCTTATATTTCGAACACCACCAACCTTTCAAACGTCTTGATTTTGTTTAGGCGCACTGTGTCTTGTGTATATTTTCTTGTCTATAATTCAAATTTAATATAGGCAGTTAACCTATTTTTTAAGAAATTAAGAACTTATCTAGGGAATTGGATTTTTAATAGAATATCTATTTATAATATTCTTAGTTCTTTATAATGACTTCTCATATTTCAGGACAAGGAAGGAATTCCTCCAGATCAGCAGAGATTGATCTTCGCTGGAAAGCAGCTGGAGGATGGAAGAACTCTGTCGGATTATAATATTCAGAAGGAATCTACTCTTCACCTTGTTCTCAGGCTTAGAGGAGGTATGCAAATCTTTGTCAAGACCTTGACCGGAAAGACAATCACCCTGGAGGTCGAGGCTAGTGACAGCATTGAGAACGTTAAGGCCAAGATCCAGGACAAGGAAGGAATTCCTCCAGATCAGCAGAGATTGATCTTCGCTGGAAAGCAGCTGGAGGATGGAAGAACTCTGTCCGATTACAACATACAGAAGGAATCTACTCTTCATCTGGTTCTCAGGCTCAGGGGAGGTATGCAGATATTTGTCAAGACCTTGACCGGCAAAACCATTACCTTGGAGGTCGAGGCTAGTGATAGCATCGAGAATGTCAAAGCTAAAATTCAGGTAATTTAATTTAATGAAATAAGGGTCTGGGTTAAAATGATTCTAGTGAAACCTTTAACATTCTTTTTTCCTCCTTATATTGAAAGAATTTATATATCTTCATCATTCTCCTCCTCCATCCCCTGGGAGTGGGTTTTTTTATGTTCACCCTTGGCTATTACACCTTTTTTTGGTTAGTTTCTGTTATAACCGCATTGATGTTTTATTAAATATATTTAAAGATCGGACTGATAGTTCTCAAGATTTTCTATTTTTGTGTTAAATTACTTTTCACTGTTTGTCGGATCAATGTTAAATTTCCTGTTTTCTCGGCGAAATATGCATTAAGGTGTCCGTGGGACAAAGGTTCTTATTCTCTTTTTTTTTCAGGACAAAGAAGGAATTCCCCCAGATCAGCAGAGATTGATCTTCGCTGGAAAGCAGCTGGAGGATGGAAGAACTCTGTCCGACTACAATATTCAGAAGGAATCAACTCTTCATCTGGTTCTCAGGCTTAGAGGAGGTATGCAGATCTTTGTCAAGACCTTGACCGGTAAAACCATTACCTTGGAGGTCGAGGCTAGTGATAGCATCGAGAATGTCAAAGCTAAAATTCAGGTAATTTAAAACAAATTATTATGAAAATTAGGTCTAGGTAAAATTGAATCTAGTTAATTGTGTTGTTTTCCTAATGTTGTGAAAAGTAAACCTTTAACAATTTTTTTTCCTCAAATTGAAGAAAATGTTTAATCCTTATCATTCTCATCCTCACCATCCCAAACATATTTGGTTAGTTTCTCTTAAACCCGCATTAATGTTTAAATTCAAGATATTTTAAGATTAGACTGATAGTTTAAGATTTTCTATTTTGTGGAAAAATATCTGTTTTTGTCTGATCAATTTAAAATTTTCCCGTTTTCTCTGCGAAATTTTCACTCAGGTGGGATAATTGTTGGATAATTGTTCTTTATCTTTCAGGACAAGGAAGGAATTCCTCCAGATCAGCAGAGATTGATCTTCGCTGGAAAGCAGCTGGAGGATGGAAGAACTCTGTCCGATTACAATATCCAGAAGGAATCTACTCTTCATCTGGTTCTCAGGCTTAGAGGAGGTATGCAGATCTTCGTCAAGACCTTGACCGGAAAGACCATCACCCTGGAGGTCGAGGCTAGTGACAGCATTGAGAACGTTAAGGCCAAGATCCAGGACAAGGAAGGAATTCCCCCAGATCAGCAGAGATTGATCTTCGCTGGAAAGCAGCTGGAGGATGGAAGAACTCTGTCCGATTACAATATTCAGAAGGAATCTACTCTTCACCTTGTTCTCAGGCTTAGAGGAGGTATGCAGATCTTCGTCAAGACCTTAACCGGTAAAACCATCACCCTGGAGGTCGAGGCTAGTGATAGCATCGAGAACGTTAAGGCCAAGATTCAGGACAAGGAAGGAATTCCCCCAGATCAGCAGAGATTGATCTTCGCTGGAAAGCAACTGGAGGATGGAAGAACTCTGTCCGATTACAATATTCAGAAGGAATCAACTCTTCATCTGGTTCTCAGGCTCAGGGGAGGAAATTAGATGGCTGCGGCTCAAAATTCAACAAAATTTATCTATTCGGCTTTATTACATGTGACTAAATTTATTTCAATACTTTTTATTCAATAAACGTGTAATATTTTTATTTGGACTTAATCTAATAAGAATGGTTTAGAAAGAAACTTTGAACGGTGCAGAATTATAGAATTAGACAAAATAGACCTTGGAGCCTTCTGACTAGCGCGCCACTAGCCGGCAGTTACATCATGGGTCATCTTAGCACAGATTTTACATGTATGTCGATTTGTTGGTAATTGGGCACGAGGAAATCATTTCTGAGGTCCGCATAAATATTGGAGAATTCTGACCGTACATGTATGTCGATTTATAGGTAATTTGGCACGAGGAATTTATTTCTGGTGTCAATGACTTTAGAGCATTCTGACTGGCGCATTTTTCGTAGTGTCTTCCTTATAAACTTAATTTTATTCTTATTTCTTAGTAAGTTAAATCTTATTGAACGCTTATTAACGATGATTTTTTTTTCTGACAAAACAAGGTGATGCAAAAAAGTAAAACTTATTTTGATTAACCTATATGCATTGAATAATTCCCCTAAATCATGGGCAGATCGTTTTGAGACCCATTTTCAGAAATTTAGCATTTTCTGACACTTGAATTGTTCCATAAAGATTGTAAAATTGTATTATCGGTCAGTTTGCTTTCATTACATTTAAACGAATTTTTTTACTGGTCAAAGATACACGAAACATGGCAGTTGGTGAAAAATTTAAAACTTTTTCAATATTTACTGAAATTGTTTAATACCAAAGAGAATTATATGAATATTTGCAAAAACATCAGAATATCAAATGCCAAATGATCAAAAATATATATATGATCAAAAAAATGTACGGTTTACAGTTAGGACAACTATTTTTTTAAATATATCATATAATTTTACAATTAAGTTAATTTTAAAGTTTAAGGTATTCTTAAACATATTTTTCTGATAAAAAGTCTGTAAAATGTAAGCTCTCTCTTTCACGCAATCTATTTTTCTTTTCTATCTTCTCTTCTATGTTCTACTCTTCTCTTCTATTTTCTTCTCCTTTCTTCTGTTCTTTTTTTCTTCTCTTTTCTTCTTTTTTCTTCTCTTTTCTTTTCTTCTCTTCCCTTATTTCTTTTCTTCTCTTCCCGTATCTCTTATCGTCTCCTCTTTGTTTACTCTTTGTTTACTCTTTGTTGTCGACATTTAACCGGTTTTGAGATAAACAATGCAGTACGATCCGTTGTTATGATTTTTCTCTGCTTTGCTTACATTTCTAGCTTGTAGACCTAATTGAAACGTACTGCGTTTGTATTTCATAATTAGGCATTTGATCATTTGGCATTTGATATTCTGATATTTTTTGCGAATATTTAATGGTAGTCATATTATAGTAAAATTGATTTCAAAGTAAAATATATTTTAGTAAAAGAATTTATTGAACGAAAAAAGATGAAAAAAGTCTTTAATATCTATCACAGTATAGGGAAGAAGACATTCCAAATTATTTACCAACTGCCATGTTTCGTGGGACACCCTGTATCAGCCAAAATGATCGTTCAAAAGTTTCTGATTTTATTTGAAAAGTGTTTGATCGACTTCGAGTTCGTCCAATCCTTTATTAAATTTTACAAAATAAATATTTTTTCGTTGAAAATAGTTGAAATCTAGGTCATGTACAAAATTTATACGAGGGAGGGGAGGGGGGTCCAAAAATTCTATACTAGGACGGACCCAAAAATTTGGCGAAAACACAACTTCCCAAAATCTATTGGCTGTTCGCATGTATACTTATTTTTTTTAGAAGAACCATTTTAAGACAAATAAAGGCATTTGCCATTCGACTGTTGTGCGCACATGCCCCGTAAAATTCCAAAACAGAGAGAGGGGGATTGAATATTGTAGATCCAGAAAAATAATATCTGTGAAATGCCTGCGTAGAGACTGGCAGTTGGTGGGGTCTTAAATGAAAGACATGTGGCCGCAGCGCTCGGCCCCCTAGCCTGTCCTAGCCGCAGCGCTTGGCCCAGAAAGTGTCTTAACCTTACCTAACCTTAAATAAATGCTAATTTAATTATTTTTCTGGATTTGCAAAATTAAATCCCCCTCTCTCTGTTTTGGAATTTTACGGGGCTGTGTGTACAACAGAGAATGGCAAATGCACCAAATAAATCCCATTTCTTGATTACTTGATAAACTGGAACAGGTATGACGACATTTAAACACATTTACTTGAAAAGGTTCATCTTTAATAAGATAAATTCAAAAACATACAATTGGTTACAAGCTAGTATACAGTAGTAAGGTATCGATTCACAACAGTGCCTTTTTTAGTTTTTACCTGATTGATTGTCTAACGAAATAGATCCTTATTTTCATAAAGAAATACGAGTATTTCTATTTGTTTGTTCTGTTAAACATACAATAATAGTGCAGTTGCAAGAGGTTAGTGATGAACTATAACGTTTGTGAAGGGAGAAGGAGACGGCATTAAATTTATATATCTTTCTTTATCTATTTTAAAATGAAGAACATAGAAAGAAAGAAGAAATGATTTTGAATCCTATTTTTTCGTTTTATATGCATTGCACACAGTGCACACTGCACTGTACTGTAATGTAAAAATTGCACTCCTATAGTTTTTGCCGGTAAGGCAAAAAAGATTAGATTGGATTGTTGGCTAAAATTGGGAGGAAGAAAAGAGATAGGGGGGATGATGTAGATATAGTTGATATGTTTGAAGGTGGGGGTGGTAGCTGTTGTATCTGATCTATCTATAACCATCCGTCTGAACACTTTCCATCTTAAACTTTTTCTCTCTTCTCTGTTATCTGCCAATCTGGTTGTTTAATGAGCACTATGATTCCGATGATTTATTAATGTTTATAATCCACGATCACATAGGTAGAACAAACTCGCTTAAAGGAAGCCAATTGCGAGAGGCTTAGTGGGATTTCTTAGCAACACTACATGATGGTGTGTGTTCTTTTTACTGGTCGGGCTTGTACTATTTAAAATCCTGGTTCGATTTCAGGGTAAAAATAGCAAATAACAATTTACAAGAAAAATACATAGATCTAAATTGAATGATAAATTGATACATCATTAAATTAATAATACTTGTTTTGGGATATAACCACCCCTAAACCAAGCCAACCATTTAAAACCACGCAGGTAGAGAAAAGATAGAAATCCAAGCGTCAGATACAACTGGTGTATATAAAGGTATTCTAAGAAGGCATTCATGAAACAATAATACATCATTAAATCATAATATTTTGTTTGCTAGTTGTCATTTGTCATGTAAAAAAGGTCGGCAATAGTATAAAACTGATTTTATAAGTAAAATCCCAAACTGTAAGAATCCCAAGAATGTTTACCAATGTTGGGATTGGAAGGATTGGGATTAGGATGAGGACTAGGAAGTTGGAATAGGTTGGACAGGGATAAATTGGGAATAGATAAAATAGGTTGGGAATTGGGATGGATATCAACTAAAGAAGAAGTTGGGATTGGGATTCAATGAATGTGAGGATGATAAAAGGGTTGGTATATTGGGAGTTTGAGTAATTTGGAAGATTGAGTAATGAATAGATGTTCTACGGGGACCACAGTATTGGAAAGAGAATCAGCAAGATAAAGAAGTTCAGAACAGAGATACAGACAGATATAGTAAAATGCGTGTATAAAAACTATGGAGAATCTGAATATGTAGTTTAAGGGGATACAAATGTATAATAAAATATGTGTATAAAAAACAATGTAGAATATGTAGTTTGGTGGATAAAAATGTACAGATATAATAAAATAAGTGTATACAACTATTGAGAATATGTAGTTTAATTGATACAAATGCTAATAAGGGGTGAAGACGACATTTTGGAAGGAATTAGCGGATTATTGTTAAGCTGGAATAAGAGAGAGAAAAAAGTATAAAAATCATCATTAGAATCATTCAATACTCTGAAACACAAATTCGGATGTGATCGTTGCAAATTTTCCATCTTCCTTTAGCATTCATAGATGGTTGAAAACCCTGTTTATTCAAGAGCGTAGAGTCCATGGTAAATTTACTGGGTTGCATTTTACAAAAGAAATTTGTAAAGATGAATTGAAAGAAAAGAAGGATGAATATATATGAATAAAGGAAAAGAAATATGAACAGATAAATAAAATAAAAGAAGGATTAATAGATGAATAAAAGGAGAGAAGGATGAATAAATGAATAAAAGAACGATGAAAAGTTTAATAAAAGAAAAGAAAGATGAATAGATGAATAAAGAAGGATATATAGATGAATAAAAGAAAAGAAGGATGAATAGATGAAGAAAATAAAAGAAGGATAATCAGATGAATAAAAGAAAAGAAGGATGAATATATGAATAAAAGAAAATAAAGATGAATAAATGAATAAAAGAATAATGAATAGTTAAATAAAAGAAAAGAAATTTGTAAAGATGAATTAAAAGAAAAGACGGATGAATAGATGAATAAAGGAAAAGAAATTTGTAAAGATGAATTAAAAGAAAAGAAGGATGAATATAGATGAGTAAAGGAAAAGAAATATGAACAGATAAATAAAATATAAGAAGGATGAATAGATGAATAAAAGGAGAGAAGGATGAATAAATGAATATAAGAATAATGACAAGTTAAATAAAAGAAAAGAAGGATGAATAGATGAATAAAAGAAGGATATATAGATGAAAAAAAAAAGAAGGATGATTAGAAGATTAAAAAAAATAAGGATGAATAGATGAAAAAAAGAAATGAAGGATGTATAGGTGAATGAAAGTAAAGAAGGATGAAAGGATGAATTAAAGAATAATGAATAGATGAAGAAAAGAAATGAAGGATGAATAGATGAATAAAGGAAAAGGAGGGCGATTAAAATAAGGATGAATGAGTAGGTGAATAAAAGAAAAGAATTTTGAATGAATGTCTGGCTAAAGGTAATAGTAAGATTAAGGTTAGCTTGTGCAATGAAGAGTAACTGTATTGTACTCTGCCAGAGTAGAAAGGGGGAGGGACATGGGGAGTGGGATGGAAGTGTATGAGGGGGGATTGGAGTACATGAGGAGGGATTTGAGTACATGAGGGGGGATTGGAGTACATGAGGAGGGATTGGAGTACATGAGGGGGGATTGGAGTACATGAGGAGGGATTGGAGTACATGAGGTATTGAAAATCTGATATGTCTTTTAGCATAACTTCTTTAACTGAAGAGGCTATTGAGAAGAACAAAACTGTTTTTAATTGCTAATGTGTAACCAAATAAGTTTGCTTATTTCATACTTAAAAATCAAAACTAGAGGAGCAACGAGATTACCAAGTCATAACGATAATGTCGATTGAATTTTACCTTCTCCTCCTGGTTAGTTTACGTGTGGGTGAGCATATCTTCTTTATTAAAACAAAAATCTAGTGGTTTTATACATGATCATTTTATACATTTTTATATCTGTCATTCATCTCTTTGCATGATGGGTCACTTAAAATCTTATAAATAAAACTACAGTTTCTGAACATTTACTGTTGTTTGCTAAAATGTTTGTAAAATCAAAATAATTTTTGATAGAATTCCGCTGTTAAAATTTGATTAAATTATCATTTCAGACTGAAAAAATATCAACAAAAAACTGAAAAACTAGCAAAAGAAAAGACAGTTAAGCTTGAGGCAAATTGTTTGCATTTGTTTTGAGCTGTATTCATTAAACTCATAAAAAATCTGAGCATTGCCACAAAATCGTTTTTCGTTTTCGATTTTTATTTTCATAAAATATCATATATATACTATATTTAAAATATTATTACTATATAGTCGTCTTCGTATTTATCAATACAATGAAGACGATTTTCAAACATCAGACACACTGAATTATTCAAATAAACAGAAGCTGTCCATTAACAGCTTTGTAATTTTAAATTTTAAATTGCTTGTTAGGGATCATAGCATTATTTATAAAAAGCCGTCTTAATTGTATTAAAATAATCGTCGACCATTGTATTATTATAATTTAGTAGATCAAACAAACATAAATATATAAATACATGATGAAAAAGATAAGTAGAGAGATGATAAACAAATTATTAATGGGTCTGAATAAAAATTTCGTGCATTATATCCGCAAGGCACTTTACAGAAAAACATTGTTGAAAATAACCAATTTTAAGAGAGAAAATTATGTTTATACTATGCGTTCTTAATCATACACAGCTTTCAAGAGTACTATCGGAATTGCCACTCTATATAAATGGAGGGTCACTTGAAATTATGCGAGCTGTCCCTTTAAGAAGTGAATAAATATGAAGAACAAATATAAATATGAATATATTGGAAGAAAAACAAGAGAAACACCGGAAGTACATTACGATATATTGACACTCATCACTTTTATTGTTTTCAAGAAGGTAAGTAGCGCAACTATGAAGGTGTTTTTTTGTGGGGGGGGGGGGGTCGATGTAAGAGACAATTCAGAACAAAAGAAGAAAATGTGTTGGATCCTTTTTTAGAAAAAAATTAACAGAATATTTCTTAAAAATGTAAATTCATAATTTTTAGCATTTATTTTTATTTAATTGAACACTTTACCTTTAATAAACTTTATAAATATCTCTACATAAACTCTTTCCACTTTTGAAGGTTTTCTAATCAAGCTTAAAAGTGAAAGAGAAAAGAAAAAATAATATTTTGAGAATAAGAGAATTGTATATTTTCCAAATATATATAATATTTTACGAAACATTTTATTTTTAAGGAGAATGCAAAATGAGACATATATATACAGTGTTACCCACGGAGGATGAGACCTTAGAGATGACAGAGTTCATGAAAACATTCTCCTTTAAGTTTCGGTTCCCTGCCACTTGCAACCTGTTTTTAAGTAAGTCACTTTCAGGCTCTATTCAAGGCAACAGACTAAATTCGCTGTGAATTATGATTTTTAAGTCATCACTAAAGCCTCGTCATTTCTGGGTATAACTATTTTTTTAATTGGTTCAAAAAATGGTTCAAAAAATGGCGGTGAGATCATAAAATATAAAACTATATGTATATGAACATCAAGAAATAAAAAAATTTAACGTTGAAAATTTAAATATATCTTACATACATATTTAACCACTACATCTTTGTTAATGAAAAAAGAACAGTTTTTAAAATAAATATGGCATTATAAGAGCACAAAAGCGTATTGCAAACTAGACCTTTTATGAACATTAAATTGCAAATAAGATAAAGTTTCTTTTCTTATTTAGCAAAATTTTCCGCTGTAAGTGAAAGTCAGGGTTTGTTCGCCTTCAGTTGCCTTAAGTAAATCGTTAGCGTGTCCCAAGTCCGCCTTTAATTCGTCTGTAGTTCTTGTAAGCTGACCTTTTATAGTCCACGTTTATTTAGCCTTTTATCCGCCTTTTATCCGCCTTTTGTCCGACTTTTGTCCGACTTTTGTCCGCCTTTAGTCCACTTGTAGTAAACCTTTAGTATGTCTTTTGTCCGCCTATAGTCCACTTGTAGTAAACCTTTAGTATGTCTTTTGTCCGCCTATAGTCCACTTGTAGTAAACCTTTAGTATGTCTTTTGTCCGCCTATAGTCCACTTGTAGTAAACCTTTAGTTAGTCTTTTGTCCGCCTATAGTCCACTTGTAGTAAACCTTTAGTTAGTCTTTTGTCCGCCTTTAGTCTGCCCTTTCTCCCCTGTCCGCCTTTAGTCCGTTATGATGTGGTAAAGTCTGGTTTTAGTCCAATTCTTCTTCTTGAATGATAGTGCACTCTCTTTTTAATATTCCTAAAATATATAAAGTCAAAAAAAAAATATTTAACTGTTTCAAGCTTATTCTGATTATGAATGAGATATTCATATTTTCTAATTAAAAATTACATTTTCAAGAGAGGGGTTTCTACACTATTGACTTTCAAGATATCTGCTGCAGAAACATGGAGGAAACTGTCAGAATTAAGCATTTCTAAAGCTAAAAAGCGAGAATGTAAATAGAATCTATAAGATAAAGGTTTAAAATGAACCAGTTCTAATGTATTATTTGAAATAAATTTCATGTATTTTTTTTCTAATTTTCAAACGCATGTAGATTTTCTATCCGAAGTAAAACATATTTTGACCATTTCACAGTTGAGAAATTAACAAAATTAAACACATTTCCCGCCAGAAATCCGACAATATCCTTCCACATTAATTGTCAGATTAAGGTTTCAAGTGTAACGTTGTGAATCAGACGGATGGATTAAAATTAGAGTTTAAATTCCTTAAATTTAGTTTACAAATTCTACCTGGCTTTTTGTTCCATTCTCTTCTTCTGGAAGAACTCGTAGGTTTTCTTATTTTCCTAGAAATATAACAATTGACTCAAAATATAATAATTGTCTTTGTCACAAATTCTGATCTTCTATTTCCCTTCATCTTTAAACCCATTGTCGTAGACCTTATATATTTAATTTGAACTATGAATTCTGTTAGATCAAAAAATCTAAGTTTGAAATATCAAAGTTTTACACCACCAGGTCGAAAGATATAGAAATAGTAGAATTTGAGTTAATGGCAAAGCCTCAATTCCTTTGCATATTTTTGTTTAGGCTAGGGAGGAAGGGGGGAGGGAGGAAGGGAGGGAACATTGAACAAGTATTCAGAATCCCTCTATTTTATACCCTAGAAAACAATCCGTGGAAGTAAACAAGATTTTATAAAAAGAAAAGTTTTGATTGATAAATGTATACAGATTTTTTAAAACTTCCAATAACATTTTTGTTTTTTACTTCTTAAAAAAAGAAATAACAAAAAAATTATATTTTGTTTTGAATTTAGAAAGCGAAACTAGAAAAAACATGTGGTCGTAAGAAATCTTCAAATATAAATGTAAGTTAAGTTCTTGAAGGTTTGCCAAGAAAGTGTGGCTATGGTGGATTTTAGCTTTTGCTTGGCAAATTCTCAGAAAGAAAAGCAAATATTTCTCCAATATTATTATTCAGACAAACGTTTAGGATATCATTTCGTGGATTAGTGCGACAACTTAAATTTCATTGACCAAAAAATATATAGTTCCTTGACATGGACTGTTTCTTTAAAACGTGAAAAATACCTGTATATATCCGGGGACCCAAACTCCAGGAATTGACTCTCAATACTACTCCTAACATTTTCCCCAAGATTATTCCCAAGGTTACTCCCAAAACTATTCCCAAGATTATGTTCAAACTCACTGAACATCAGACAGTGTTCAACCTTGGCAAAAAAAACTATTTTGACAATTATTCATAAAAAAATGTGAATTAACACTTTTAATGATAATATTGATGATAATAACTGCTTACTATACTTCCCTTACGTCGTGCATAAGATCTATTTTTGGCCAAAAATATACAGAATATATGGCCAAAAATATATAGAATATATGGCCAAAAGATATAAAAATAATTAACAAAATCGTTAAAATAAATAAAAATCAAACAATTAAAACAACAATTGAAACTAAATTTCAAGATATTTTTCAGCAAAATGTGTTATTATATATATGAAGAAGACATTACAAAAAAATTCAACAAAATTTGAATGAATTTATAGAAAACCTTGTCGCATGATGTAATATTCTCCAGGATCTCTAGTTCCTCCAGGAGAACATCTCCATACTCTAGATCCCCCTCATCTACCTCCTCATCCTCATCCTAAACAATATTATTCATCCTCATCCTCATCCTCATCCTCATCCTCATCCTCATCCTCATCCTCATCCTCATCCTCATCCTCATCCTCATCCTCATCCTCATCCTCATCCTTATCCTTATCCTTATCAGGGCAAAAACTATCCCATCAAATAAATTAATTAAAAGATGTAACAATAGGAGATTAAAAGATATTATACCTCTGGTATGAACCCAATATTCCCCGGGGTCTGGAGGGAGATCGGAGGTAGAAAGTCGTCTTCCATCTCAGCAAAGGATTTCCTCCGGTGGACCGTATACTCCTGGTCAATTTCTGCTACCTGACAGATTTTAATTTTGTAATTTACGATTCACAATGGTACCCTCAAAGTTAGATAACCATTTATTTCTAATCTATGATATATTATATAACGTGACATGTGCCGAATTTACACTTTCAGACACAATTTTTCAGGTATCTTTAACAATTTTAATCAGATAAAGGTTTGAAGGGTACTGTTATAACTCTCGTTATTTGACCCCACCTTGCATTCTGCCTCAGTATGTCTTGATGAATGTCGTCTTCTGTTCTTCTTTCTCAGCTGCCTCTTATGTACATCTAAGTTAAAAAAAGAATGGTTACAAATATGATGATTAATTTAAATTTAATTTTCAACCCCAAGGATACTAAAGTTAAATATTTTGTCCGAAAAAATGTCAATAATAATTATTTTAAAAAATGCGCCTGCAAATTAGAAATTTAAAAATTACCAGAATTGACAATTTTCAGAGCAAAAGATAAGAAATTAAAATTGTTGATAGAAAAGGGGTCGCTAAGCGCCCTAAAATCTTAGTTTAAATGGACGGTAAAGGAAAAATGAAAGGGGGTATAGGCTGAAACTTGAGAATCTCAGGTTTGCTGTCACATTGTCACGTGATACAGATGGAAATCACGTGACCAGTATACAGCGTGACGTAATACGGACTTCATGTAATTATATTATCAATTATTAAAATTATTAAAAGTACAAAATAAAAATAACCTGAGAAAACCTGAGATTCTCAGGCTCCTGTAAGATATCGTCGTTTTCAGATTGGGTTGCGTATTTGTTGAATATGATCTGTTTAATACTACAACTTTTATACAAAATTGCATACATCTGAATTTTCGTATAAATTTGACACATATTTTATATCAATTTCTCGAGACAGAAACATCAGAGAGATGTCTTAATGGTATAGTTCAACGCCTGAGATTCTCATGTTTCATTCTATACCCACTTTCATTTTTCCTTTACAGTCCCATTAATATAAAACAACACACACACACAAAAATCTCTAACAAGAACAATGGTTGCCTTTTTGAAGAAATTATGCATGTGTTGTTGTCAAATGCGACCTCGTAGCTTTCCCTTACTTGCACAAGTATTACAATACAAATGTATTCGGTTACAAACTAGAAACATTTTAGTTCTTTACAAATTAGCTTTTTAATAAAATTTTAATAAATATTCAATCTTACGTTTGACGTGTTACTGTACTTACTGGTCTATTTGACGCTGCCTTGTTGTTTTGCAAATAGGAAATAATTTTTTTTCTGCATTTTATATGAAATTGTATTTTACTATAATACGGAAAATAATAGTCAAAAATAGAAATATTGAAGAAAAAAGATGCCAATCTGCTCGTTACTTTACCTATACAAGAGAGTATCAAAGATCCGGCCACAATACAGAAACCACAGAAATAAAAACCTGACTGAAGGCAAACAACTTCAATCAAACTTTTCCAAAGTCGGGGAGGGAAAGGGCTTCAAAAGGCATCTTTTTTGAAATGCACGAAATTTATTCTTGTAATATTTCAGACATTTATTTATTCACTAGCTGAAATGCCCAGAGTTGCCCGTGTAAAAAAATTAAACACAAATATTAAAAAAAATTTGAAAAAAAAATTTCAATTTTTTTAGCCTATAACACCCCCCGGCCACCTATGAGTGTCCACGAATTTTTTTTTTGCCCAATCGGTCCAGCCGTTTGGCCGGCTATGGCAACATATATATATACAAATGTCTTATTTTATTATATAGATTATTTAGATTTGTTCCTTTGGTCCCAGGCTATCCTCAAACATGCTAAAAATGGGAACACTCAATCCTGAAATATGTTTATTATTTAAAAATAATAAAATTATTTTTTTAATAAAACACTTAAATTCAGAAATCTGAAATTTTGAAGGTTTATGGAAAAAAATTGTCAGAAATTTTGATCTAGAAAAACAATGATATTTTTCACTTTATTGATCAGACAAAGTTGTTATTAGTACCATTGTGGATCCGGCAAACTTCATTTATAATTACAACCATAATTCCTTAAAAGAAGCGATGTTACATTAAGTTGGTTCGTCTTTTAGTAGTTTTAATCAATATTTACTCTCAGGGTCAACATTGGACATTGTGTAAGTAAAGCAACTGTTTTTAAAATCTTACACTATGCCAAATTTTGACTAGATATATACAAAAGAAAAGGAACAAAAAATCCATAAACAATATAAAACGATGCATAAACGATGCATAAACGATGCAAATACGATGCATAAACGAAGCATAAACGATGCATAAATGATGCATAAACGATGCATAAACGATGCATAAATGATGCATAAATGATGCATAAGCAATACATAAACGATGCATAAAAGAAGCATAAACGAAGGTTCGGATTTGGATAGTTTTTTTCATTTTTTTAGAATAAAATATTGCAAAGTTTTAGAAAAGCAAACTTCCAAAGTTACAATTTTGAATTTTCTTTTGTTAACAACATTAGTTTAATAGTACCTATAGGTATAGCCTGACAGGCCTGAACGAACCCCCAGCTTGAACCAAAGTTGCGAGCTCGAACCTTCTCGAACACGTACATTTTTAAACTGTAACTGTACACACCCAACAGGAAACCGTACATTGATACAGTTAGTACATAACTTCGATACTCCTAAATTAGTCCAAAGCTATATAACATAGATTAATAACAACAAAGATAGAACACTATATGTCGGGATTTTTCGTTCACAATAACTATGAGCCCGAAACTCCTAATCCTGGCATCTCCAAAACAAAATTACCGGAGATAAAAATGATTTCGTGTAGATTTCCACACATTTAAAGAATCAAAATTGTCAATATATATATAAACAAAATCGTTCAAATTTTCGGTGATTTTGAAATCACAAAAAAGGCAGACTACCTTTTAGAAATGCAGGACTAGAGTGATCATTATTTAAATCGATTCAAACTTGTAAAATTAAAATTGAAAAATGCCGCAAATTCTTTCAAAAATCAAATACGATAGTTAAGACGTCTCATAACTGCCATGCTGACAATCTACAATACCATTACCATTACATTGACAAGGAATATTAAAAGTGGCCTACGAAAACATAAGAATTTATTCCCGAAATTTACAGAGATATCCAAAAAAGATTAAACTTTAAAGGGACAGTAAAGGAAAAATGAAAGGGGGTATAGGTTGAAAGCTAATCACTTTAGCTTTTAATCGAGACCCTTGAGACGCGTATCTGAAGTTCCTGACTCGAGAATTAATATAAAGCTGTTTTAAATTTGTACGAAAATGCATATATATATACAATTTCATATAAAAATAGTAGGTTTAAACAGGCCATGTTCAGAAATACAGCAACCAATCTGAAAACGAAGATATCCCAGAGGAAGCTAATCTTTACTTTGATTTTCTTCAATTATAATTTCATAACTTTTATTTTGATTTTAATAGATATAATTGATTTAGTGTTGGATCGTCGCATTTTGTGGATTTTCACAACAAAGACGACCTGCACTCAATCAATCAATCAAGTGTGCAGAGATATTTTAGAATAGACCGTAGACGCTATATCAAGATTCAAGAAAAAAATATTGCATTATAATCTCATTTTTTACGATTACGGGAAATTTTATTACAATAAATATTTTTTTGTGATAAATATATCGGCGACGCGATTGCAAACTTGAGAAGGACAGCTGGTTTTACCATACCAAATTATAAACCCGTACACAAGATAGCAAAGTTTAAATTAAACTTCATTTGACTTGAATGGTAATACTGAGACTATAATTGTATTCACTGAATTTTTTAAGGTCAGATGTACCGTCTGTTATTGTTCATAGAGGTTTTTTAAAAATATCTAAAGCTTTATATGGCGGTTCCTGTTTATTTTCTGACCTTTAAATTTCGTGATTCATGGAGTACGTTAGGTTTTTCTTATCGAACGATTTTTTGATCATGTACAAAGTTATTATGAGAGGGGGGGGGGAGAGGAGGATCTAAAAAGCGTTCGGGTCCGTCCTAGAGAATGAGTTTTGGACCCCCCCTCCTATCAATTTTGTACATTTTGTATGTAATTAATCATGTGGCCGCAGCGCCGGCTCCCTAGCCTGCCCTAGCCGCGGCGCTCGGCCCCCTAGCATGTCCTAGTCGCAGCGCTCGGCCCCTAGCCCGTCCTATAGCCGCAGCGCTCGGCCCCTAGTCCATTCTAGCCGCAGCGCTCGGCCCAGAAATTTTCTTAACCTAACCCAACCCTAAAATAATAAAACATAAATGTAAAAAATTGATAGGGTCAAAAAATCGTATACTAAAAATCGTAAAAATCGTTGCGATACCTTAATTGACTAATTGATTTGACGTAAATACTGAGACCGTAAAATATTTCTCGACGGACAGATGTACCGTCTGTATTGCTCATAGAAAATATCTAGAACTTTAATAAAGATTCCTTTTTAGTGATTTACTATAAAACACGCTTCTTGGTCAAAAACAAAATTAATAGGATGGGGGTGGGGGTGGGTAGAGGATCCAAAAAAACGTTCTGTAGGACAGAACAGTATATGATATATATCCCAGTAAAGCATTTACCTAATTACTTAATCAATAAAATCATCAATTATCTATTTTTCAGATGAACTGTCCCTTTAATGACGACTACAAATTCTTTGAATGAATCTTAATTTGAAGTCTGGCTTTCTGCCTTTAATATACCTTCAAATGGCAAATAGCAAAAAACAGAAACAAGTTTAAAGCTAGAGAACCCATAGAATTTTACTGTCGTTTTCTATCTTAAAGCATGTTTCATAATGTCAATTTCATTTATTTTCACATAAAACTGAAAGTAATTTTTAAAGATAAAAGAAAAGTTTGAAATAATTAATCCGACCAAAATTTAGAGGCTACCTTAACATTTGGGCCTGTTTACCTCTCTAAATAGAGGATCAATTGAAATTATTAGCACAGTCTCTTTAAGTCAGTGCATAGCCCGCATATTTACCTGTATATAAATGAAGGAGAAGATGTTTACACCTGTACACAGTGCAGTACATTGTACAAGGTATTGTCTACTGATGATGTAGCATCTACCACTGCCAACAAGCACCAAACTGCCAACCAAACAACCTTAACAAAACAAACAAAACTGTTTGTTAAGCATCAAAAATAACATCTTCAAAATTTAAGACTTCACAAAATACAAAAATTGAGAAACACTAACTAACATTAACAGAAAAAAGTCGACTTTTCACGGAATGGACGGGATTTACCTTTATTAATGCCATCGTTCCAAGAAATTAACAACCGCAATAAACGAGTTCTTCAAAATATTGGTACGATTATAAACTAACGAACGTAAACCGAATGGTAATCAATCGTTGAATTCAATAATCAGTTTTAAATTGCTTGAAACTATAACCTATTCCAAAATAAGTTTGTAATCTTGAAGCTAACCTGTTATCCAACCTATTCTGAAATAAGTTTATAATCTTGAAACTATCCTATTATCCAACCTATTCTGAAATAAGTCTGTAATCTTGAAACTAACCTATTATCCAACCTATTCCAAAATAAGTTTGCAATCTTGAAGCTGACCTATTATCCAACCTATTCCGAAATAAGTCTATAATCTTGTAACTAACCTATTATCCCACCTATTCCAAATAAGTTTGTAATCTTGAAACTAACCTATTATCCAACCTATTCCAAAATAAGTCTATAATCTTGAAACTAACCTATTATCCAACCTATTCCGAAATAAGTCTATATTCTTGAAACTAACCTATTATCCAATATATTCCAAAATAAGTATGCAATCTTGAAACTAACCTATTATCCACTCTATTCCAAATAAGTCTATAATCTTGAAACTAACCTATTATCCAACCTATTCCAAAATAAGTTTGTAATCTTAAAACTAACCTATTATCCAATCTATTCCAAAATAAGTATAATCTTGAAACTAACCTATTATCCAACCTATTCCAAATAAGTCTATAATCTTTAAGCTAGCCTATTATCCAACCTATTCCAAAATAAGTCTATAATCTTGAAACTAACCTATTATCCAACCTATTCCAAATAAGTCTATAATCTTGAAACTGACCTATTATCCAACCTATTCCAAAATAAGTCTATAATCTTGAAGCTAACCTATTATCCAACCAATTCCAAAGTAAGTTTGCAATCTTGAAATAAGTTTTTCTGAAACTCCATCAGCTGCTGCAAAGCTCCACTGAAAAATCCAAAAAATTAAAAATTGATCTTGAAAAAAAGATGTCTTTGTTTTTACTCACCATATAAATGACAGGAGCGTAGAGACCAAATGCAGATATTCCTGTTAAAAAAGTAAAATAATTATCTTCAGATATTCTAAAACTATAATACATGACAAAAGTGGCGAGGTTTTCGTTTAAAGTTAAAATTAAAATCCTGGCTTAACTATTTATTTATAACTCATCATCTTTTTAAATGACAATATATTGAGCTAAACAAGACACAACAAATTACTAATCATTTATAAGTTTTCAAAAGAAAACTTTTAATATTTTTTATTCGATAAAAAAACCAATCTTTGTAAAATATTTTATTTCCTGTAGCATTTAGAAGAATCTGTACAGTTCTGCTTCGTAAAGGTCCTGAGCCGTCCAAGAAAGATATATATTAATGTATTGTATATTATACTGGCTGAATTGTCCGGTGTTGTCCAGGTTACACATAGATACTCCCATACTCCCACCGTTTACCCGCTCTTAGTCTTAAATCATGATTTGAACAGTGCTCTGGGTTGTCTGTGGAATTTAAAATAATTCCATACTTTGTTAAGCCAATGGGTTCCCTTAAAATTTGGTTTAGCCAATTTAGCCTTTGGCCAGCTAAAGCGATATATAATTATAGATATATAATTATAGATATATATAATTAAAGATTTATAATTTAGTTAATTGTAAACCTTTTAACATATACTGATTATTATAAGAAAAGCTAAAAGTATTTGAACTTTTGGATTTGGTCTGAGAGGAATCGAGTCTTTGTCGCAAACTCAAATTTTCTAATCACTTTATCTCTAACCTGGTGGTATAACCCTTTGATATTTCAAACTTTGATTAATTGATCTAACAGAAATCATAGTTTGAAAAATCTAAGGTCTCTGACATTGGGTTGCAAACATATAGGGATTAGAAAATCAGTGTTTGTGGCAAAGACTAAATTTCTTCAGATAATGGAACGAAAGTGAGTTTTTGTCGCAAACTCAAATAGTCTAATCCCAATATCTTTCATCCTAATGATGTAAACCATTGATATTTCAAAGCTAGATTATTTGATTTAAAAATATTCCGAATTTGAAATATCTAATGTCTCCGACATTGGGTTCTAAAGAAAGAGTGAATCAGAGTTTGGTACAAAGACTCAATTTCTTTTGTGATTGAAATAATAAAAATAAAAAAGTTGTTTTTTTTTATTTTCTAAAATAATAGTAGTATTGGAAATAGCTTCCTTTCCTGTATCAATAAATGGAATCTTTTCTTCGAAAACTTTGCTCTGAGAGTAAAAAACATATTCAAAATTCAATCAGTTCAAAAAATAAATTTTTATGTACAAATAAATTCTATTAGAGAACAAATTTGAGGCATAGTTTTAATCGATTCTGAAAAGTGTAAACTTAGATGTAAAACAATATTTTAGCCAAAGGAACTGAGTTTTTGCCACAAACTCAAATTTTCTAATCCCTATATCTTTGCAACCTGATGGTGTAAACCTTTGATATTTCAAACTTAGACTACTTGATCTAACAAAATTCATCAAAGATCTACAACATCGGGTTGCCAAGATAACGGGATTAGAAAATCAGAGTTTGTGGCAAAAACTCAGTTCCTTTGAAGAGAAAATATTAAAGATTATGTTATAAATCATACATTTTTGAAAAAATTTTAAATGACAGTTCATTTGAGATTACAAAAACAGTTCCTTTGATTATTTACATTAATAATTATTTTTAATATGTTTTCCTTGTCTTCTTTTTTACTCTTTATCTTTCTCCTCTGATTCTTTAGATGAAGGATTGCTCGCCTCTGAAAATTCGATCAAAAATTATCCTTTTTTAAAATGCTGGAAGGGGGGGGGAATGGTATAAAGAGAGGAAAATTCATTTTATAGTTCAGAATTGGGTTTCCCGACCTAAAATTGATGACTTTAGACACCCCACGTGGACCTATCACAAAGTTTTTGAAAAAATGCTCGAAAAATGCGGGAAAAATGGGGGGGGAATTATTTTTTCCCCACTTTGGTGTTTGATTCAAAAACTAGATTCCAATTCAGGCCTGCATGCAAAAAACCAGAGAGAAATTTCTAAAAATGAAGTCATTTAAGGCCCCCCCCCACCCACCCTTTGTATGGAAATGTGGACACCCCTCTTTGATCGAAATATATGTTTATGTTTTAAGAAAAAGAGATATGTTCTTTAATTAATTTTATCATTGGATATTTTGTATAATAAAAAAATAAGTTTTTCCAAAAACTCTAATTTTGTAATCCCTATATCTTTTCAAATTGATGATATATTAAACGTTATCTGTTTGATCTAACAAAATTCAAAGTTTGAAATAACGTAGGTTTACGGTATTGGTTTGCAAAAATGATATAGGGAAAATTAGAGTTTGTGACAAAGACTCGATTTCTTTGTTTTTTTAGTAACTTTGATAAAGAGATGTTTTTTTAAAAATAAATTCAATCAAAATATATATATTACTTAATAAATTTAATCATGAAATGTTTTTTAACAAATTTTATCAAGAGATATGTTTTTCATTAGATTCGATAAAGAGATATATTCTTTTATAAATTTTATCAACAGACCAATTTGTTTTTAATAAATTCAATTAATAGATTTGTTTTCTAATCGATAAAAATATACCTTCTTTTTAAACACTTTAACAAAAAAAATTGCGATTTAAAAAAAGCACTTAGTTAATTTTATTTTAAAGCAATTTATTCAAAACTTCCTTCGAAGGCTTAACTTAGAAGATTGATAAAAATTGTAATCACACTCATTCGAAAGGCCTGACTATTTTACGGTTTTTATTAAAAAAAAAACTGTAATTCTCTATTAAACTTTATACAGGATTACATTTTTAATTAAGATATGATAAATTTTTGCAAACTTATAAAAAAACATATTTATGCTAATTACTAATTTTCGCAAAAAAAAACCTCTGGCTACAAAAAAGCATTAACAGAGTCAAAAAACAAAAGTCAATGAGTTGAGACACTTCAAAATAAACCCGGTCTTGAAAGTTGATTCATTATTTACCTGTGGGTGGTAAAGGCTGGCAGATCTATAGAAAATTGCAAGAATGAAAGCAGAAGCAACAAGACCTAGAATTTGTATTTATATAAACTAAAATAGAGAGACTTCATAAATATGCTTTTAGAAAATCTTTTTATTACCAGGTCGATACAAATACTTTATAAACCTGTCTTAGGGCGATAAAGTCATTATATTGCCCTACAACTGGAAAATATTAGGTTTAATAAATTCCCTTAAAATTAAATAAATATAATTTTGAAGTATTTAATTTATTATTCAATTACGTTTTTTGGTCTGAGGTTGTTCAAATTTTTTTACTTTTCTAAATAACACTTTAGCCCCTCACTTTAGGCTAAAAGACACGGCTTTTAAACCTACTGACTGAGTCCTCCAAGACATACTGCCTAAATGCCTTATTTTACCGTTACCCAACTCAATCTATATTTTGACCTTCTTCCAGTCTTTGGATTTAGACTTTTTATAGCTTTTTGGAAATCCCTGAAATTTTTAAATATTTTGCATATTTGAATTCGCCGTGGTAAGGGTTTTCCAAAAATGTATAGTTTATCATATTTCGCGCACTTTTTGTATTTGCACTTTTTTTGCTTAATAACTTGATATTGCAATCAATATTTAAAATTTTGCAAATTTGCAAATTTGGTTATTAAATAAGAGCCCAAAGGCTTTCCAAAAGTGTATTTTGATTTGTATCACAATTAGGAAAAACTTTTTTGGTAAACCAGACGTCAGCCTGATTAGGGTTAAGATTGTTTATGAAGTTTCAAATTAATAAGAGCAGACTTTTCAAAAAAATTGATTCTAAACTAAATCTTTTTGTTAATAAGTTATTTTGAAAAACCTGTAATAGCTTGCAGCCCCAATCTCCAGCCCACAACTCTGAATATGAAAACATTAAATAGAACTTAAATTAAATACAGACAGGGTGTCTAAATACATCAGGGTTCAATTTTCACATTTTTAGGCATTGGAAGTTTCCGTGCGTTAAACACAAACTAAATAGTTGCAACATAAAAATCAAAGGACAATTTGTATATGAAATACTACAGTGGTAAGCAATTATATCAATATAATGAAGAATATTTTTAATTTAAGTTTTAATTGTGAACAACCTTTTTACGAATTACAGCTTGACAGCTTCTCTTGATGTCTATGTTTATGTGTATCCATGCTGTTTAACAGCTAAATATAAATCAAAATTGTAATCGAAAGTAGTTTTCATTATATTGATATAATCGTCTACCACTGCAGCTTGGGTACCCAGCTTTGCCTGGAAACTACGTTTTCAATTTTAAATGTTCAAGTCAAGCTAAAAACTTTTCCTTGCTTCCCCAATCAAAATTTGAGAAAATTCGGTCTAGGGGTTTATTAGTTTTATTAGTTATGAATATTTAGATATAGATATATATAAATATAGATATAGATATGTTTAAATATAGATATATAGATAAGGATATAAATATAGATCTAGATAGATATAGAGATATATAAATAGATAGATATAATCTAAGTTTTGGAATATTCTCTAGCCCCCTTGTCAACATAATGATACCATTCACACGAATAATGAACCCGACCACAATAACATGGAAACATAAAAACACAAATAAAAATATTTTAACTTTACAACGAGTTTCTTGCGGATAATACATGTAACTATGGAAAAGAATTAAAATTACAAAGTTGCAAACTTTTCTGGTTTGCATAAAAAATTGTTTTAAATGGTATTAATATTTTCGTTCAAAGTACATCTAATAGATTTGTTAAAGTAAATATTAACGTAACTCTAAGCAACCCTTCGTTTAAACCACCTCAAGCAGAAAATTGAATCTAAGATTGATTATATGTTTTTAGTCATTACCCATACTTCACACTCACCCTTTAGTAAAAGTAAATTTAATCTATATAAAGCATAAAGTCTGACCGCGTCAACTTTTTTGCACCGGCTAGTCCTGTCCATAGAGCTAGGTACAGTACAAACTAGGACCGGAAGGGTTGACCCGGCTCGGAAATTCAAATATCCTAAGGCTGCCCGTGTTCAGAATAGCTATTAAGAAGTTGTGTGAAATCGAAATAAGAGAAGCCATGGAGGTCAAAAAGTTATACCAGTAATGTCCCATAACGGGAACTGAGTCCTTGCCACAAACTCAGATTTTCTGATCTCTATATCTTTGCAACTCTATGTTTTAGAACTTAGATATTTCCAACCATGAATACTGTTAGATAAATTATTCCAAGTTTACATTATATATACCTGATAGCGTTGTTAATAATAGGATACATAATACAGAATCCAGGCCCCCAACTTCCAACAATCATCACTTCAACATATTCCCTTCAAATAATAGGATACATGATACAGACAGAATCCAGGCCCCCAACTATACCAACTATCATCACTTCAACATATTTCCTTCAAATGATAGGATACATGATACAGAATCCAGGCCCCCAACTACACCAACTATCATCACTTCAACATATTCCCTTCAAATAATAGGATACATGATACAGAATCCAGGCCCCCAACTTCCAACTATCATCACTTCAACATATTCTCTTCAAATAATAGGATACATGATACAGACAGAATCCAGGCCCCCAACTACCAACTACCATCACTTCAACATATTCCCTTCAAATAATAGGATACATGATACAGAATCCAGGCCCCCAGCTTCCAACTATCATCACTTCAACATATTCCCTTCAAATAATAGGATACATGATACAGAATCCAGGCCCCCAGCTTCCAACTATCATCACTTCAACATATTCCCTTCAAATAATAGGATACATGATACAGAATCCAGGCCCCCAGCTTCCAACTATCATCACTTCAACNGGAGGGGGAGGAAGGGGGGGGTGAGATATACCTCTTCCTTTTAAAATACTGGCCCACCATCAATATTGCAGAATCACGAACCATCGCAGTTCCAATTCCTGAATAATAATAAAGAATATAATCAAATAGCTTAGAAACATATAACCTGGATCAAACTGGTTGTTTTTAATCTTTCCATTTTTACAACCTGATGATGTAATCTTTTGATATTAACACCATCAGGTTAACAAAATCAAAGATCCTTTTTATTATTAATCAATTATAATAATTATGATCTGATGGAACTTTATGTTACTTGACCAACACTGATAAAGAGCTAATGATCTGTATATATCTGATAAACAGCTGATAAAACCTTTTATCTGATACTAAATCATAACTGATAAACAGCTGATGAACTTTACACCTGTTACTTAACCATAGCTAATAAACAGCTGATGCACTCTTTACTTGTTACTAAACCATAAATGATAAACAGCTGATGAACAGTACATCACCTGTAACTAAACCAAAGCTGATAAACAGCTAATGCTCTGTAATCTGTATACCTGTTACTAAACTATAGCTGATGAACATGTGATGATATCAATACTTTTTACTAAACCATAGCTGATAAACATCTGATGAACTGTAATGCTGTTACTTTACCATAGCTGATAAACAGCTAATGAACTGTACACTTGTTACTGAACCATAGCTGAAAAACAACTGATGAACTCTATACCTGTTACTAAACTATTGCTGATAAACAGCTGATGAAATGTATATCTGTCACTAAACCATAGCTTATAAACAGCGGATGAACTTTATACCTGTTTCGAAACCATAACTGATAAACGGCTGATGAACTCTATACCTGTTACTAAACCATAGCTGATAAACAGCTGATGAAATTGTGTTGCAAAAGATGAGAAAAGGTACCCGAGTGCTGTAACTAATCCTCCAACTACACCAGTTAATCTGTAGGATTTTCTCCTAAAATTAAAACGACAAAATAATCAAAATTTAAGTACACCTGCAGTATGGAAACAGTACAACAAAATAGCCGTTTTACACTTTTTTTCTAGTAAATTCCACTCTAATATAAATTCTATTCTCTTTGGTAATTAGACATCATTAAAACGTTTTATATGTCTCAAATGAATCCAAAAAATGTCTTCACGATACTACATTCTCAGTTCAACTACCATACATTGCCGGTCACTCCCTTCAAGTCTTATAAAATATAGATTAGAGTGGAATTTACTAGAAAAAAGTGTAAAACGGCCATTTTGTTGTACTGTTTCCATACTGCAGAGCCCGAAATTTAAAAGAGTATCGTTGAACGAAACTCCCGAGTTTCCTTTTTGGGGTCTTGGCAATTGTGTAGATTTTGATTTAAGAAATTTTAAAAAATGAAGAATATGAAGAAACTTAATAAAGTAATATTTCACAACAAAAACATTGATATCCACAAAACTGCCTAACCCCATTCTTGAAACCCGGGTTTTAAAACTGGTTTTCATAACGATACCCTGTCTTAAGTTTTGGGCTCAGGTGTATTTCACATATTTGTGCTATATAACCTTTTGAGCCCTGGAACATCATTTTTAGGAAATTTAAAATTAATATTAAAAGAAAACCAAATTATGAAATAGGCTGGTTTCATAATTGACTAATGATCATTTTACATTGACTATGCCTTTCTCTTTACAAACGATGATTTTCTGTTATAACTATAAATCAAATGATGTTTTTATTCACCTAATTCATTTTATAAAAAATTAAAAATTCAAAATTGAAATGGATAGTCTAGGGAACATACTGTATTAATGTACTCTACTGCATATAATTTGTAAACATTTACATGATTTGTACACTTTGAACTCCCTTTCAGGCTGAAAGGGACTGACAAAATTCATACCGAAGGATTGTCTAAATTCCCCTCTAATATATATTCTATTTTCTTTGCTTCAAGTATAGATAAACATGTAAAGGTCTGGATACAGATTTAATTAATCCTAAAAACTTTAATTTTCAATTTTAGATCGCTAAATTTAGCTTATTAACCATTGCAGATTTCTGGAGCTAACAAGCATATTTTTTGGATATTTAATGTTCAAATCCGCGAACTTCAACGATTGAGTGATGAGGCTTTAATACGGTTAAAGTTAATCTTTCTTTAAAAGTTTTCGGTTCAAGTATAAAATAGAATAAAAAAAAACTATTGATTAGAAAGACGACAGTTAGACTCAAGTGATGATTTTAATTCAAATAAAATACAGCAATTGTGCAGTGACTAGTGAAGTAACCGTTTTATTTAATAAGTTGATTTGCAAGATACTTCAGTGGTAGGCTAGTATATCAATACAATTAAGACGACTTTTTTATTTGAGATTTATCAAAGAGAAGCGCTTTTTTAATTGACAGCTTCTCTTGAATTCTATGTTTATACGTCTATCCATGCTGTTTAGCAGTTTAATATCAATCAAAATGGAAACCAAAAGTTGTCTTCATTGTATATATATATATATATATATATATATATATATAATGCGACGACGGCTCTACTAAAACATTTGCTGCATATAAAAATAATGTAAAATACACAGAAGATTGGTTAAATGTCGCCTTTCCATTCCACAGTTTTATGAAGTCTCACGGTAAATAATCTTATTAACCTGCAGAGAGCAATAGTTACTGGAGACACAAGAAGAGATACAGCTAGAGACATCGGACACAGCAATCCTGAATGCAATAGTCAATCACCGTGCACTTTTTTTAGGCTTGGTTTTAAGGTGAAATTCCATTTGTAAGAAATCGTAGGATTCAATTGCATTTAAAGGTTAAGAGTCAAAGGTAATTGTAGTTTCAACTTTCAAGGTTTTAATCTGTTTCTTGTGTTTTTTTGCGACACTTTTTTAACCATAAGAGGTAGTGTGCCAAAATTATGTAACTTCTCTGAAAGGGTAATTTCAAGTCATCCTCCATGGAAATATGGCAATACCCGATTATAACAGCACCCTTGAAACCTTTGTCTGATAAAGTATGAATTAGATATCAATGTTTTAGTTTTTTTAAACTGTTTATTTTCATTTGAGATTTCTGTGTACCGTCCATTTTTTATCAGATTTATAAGATTTCAAGATTACCGTTGTATAAGATTTATATTTGGTTTCAAGGGTACTGTTTCATCAGATTTATATCAGGTTTCGAGGGTACCGTTTCATCAGACTTATAAGGTTTCAATGGTACCGTTTTATCAGATTTATAAGGTTTCAATGGTACCGTTTTATCAGATTTATAAGGTTTCAATGGTACCGTTTTATCTTATAAGGTTTCAATGGTACCGTTTTATCAGATTTATAAGGTTTCAATGGTACCGTTTTATTAGATTTATAAGGTTTCAATGGAACCGTTTTATCAGATTTATAAGGGTTCAATGGTACCGTTTTATCAGATTTATAAGGTTTCATACACAGCTTTTTATGATACCATACCAAATCTAACACTGAAAATTACAACTTTAGTCTCTTTAAAAACACTTTTAATTTTGCGTATATCTATGTTTTATGTTGCGTATATCTATGTTTTATGTTGCGTGTATCTATATTTTATGTTGCGTATATCTATGTTTTATGTTTTTCTAAACAATATGTTAAGAAGCATTATATCAGTTGCTTTATGTTTTCTTACACACAAAAGGCTTGTTTTTACAAAGACAAGCCTTTTAGATGATAATAATAATTTGTCTTTACACGCTATACTACAGAAATATTATAAGAACATGAAAATGGATAATACAATGGTTACAATTAGTTAGTTTAACAAAATTAGTTAGTTTAACAAAAAAACAAATTTTAATTCTAAACTTTTTTAATTTATTTGGGGTTAGATCAAAGGTTCTCCTAGATCAACGAAAAAATTTAGAAAAATAAAAGCTCTTATATTTTGGTTCACATTAATTGCTATACAAGTTTTGAATTGACATATCAAGAACTTTTATCACGGTGCTATATAGCTTATTCAACATTATAGCACGATGATTACTTGATCACGTCTCTATTATAAAATTTTACATGAAATGATGATATGGTACGCAATAGTTAAAGTTTTAACCTCCTTTTGACCAACATTACCGACCTATGATTTACCTAAGAGAGGGAGGTTAAGTTACTTAACGTCCCTTGGGAAAAATTTCGCGCATTTTCCTCTCTAAAAACGATAAAACTGTGTACAACTACTTTGTCGGGAAATTAACTTCCCTGTAAAGTAGTTGTAAATAATTTGTATCATTCTAATCGACATTTTTATTACTTTAATTGATAATTACAAAAGTAAAAGAATTGAGTGGTTGTCACAAACTCAAATTGTTTAATCCCTTTATCGTTCCAACCGAATGACGTAAACCTTTGATACTATTTCCAACTTAAATTACTCGCTCGAAAATAATTCACAGTTTCACTTTCTAGTATCTAGGTCTGCAACCTTAGGGTGCAAAGATATAGGGATTAATAAATCAGTGTGGCAAAGAATCAATTAATAGTCGCGAAAAATAAAAATAATTAAAATGTGTAACCTATAAAGGTTTGATGATCTGGTTCCAGCCGTCTGATAGGATAGTTGGTATCGAAGCCAGATATAACTATTGCCAAGGATATCTGAGTCCCTGATAGTATTGATAGAGCGGTTCAGAAATTATATACAAAAGAATTGACAGATAATGAAAAAATGTGCCCAGATAAACAGATTCTTTTTTCATCTGTTTTCAGACATTTTTTATAACATTTTATTATTACAGTTTTACAAAAACTGTAATTACAGAATTTTGTGTTCGTTTGAAATATAGGTTAACCAAAGATACTTTTTTTGAATACATACGTTTGTCTTGTATTTCATAGAAAACAAGATAACAATGTATACTTTAAAATCATTTCAAAAGCGGATTTTTTAAAACTTTGTTTTGATAAATGTAATAAAAAAAATATAAAGCAAAACAAGCAGAAATTCATTTGTCATAAAATTTTTCTAAATATTTGGATAATCCAGATTCAAATAAATCTTTAAACTTTTTCTTAAACTTTTTTATATGATTGGATGTACTATTTAATTTAAATTTGCAAAAAAACTGTATGAAAGGGAAGGAATTGACATTTTAACCTTTGCCACAAATTAAAATTTCCTAAACCCTATACCATTGAAACCTGATGGTGTAAACCTTTGATATTTCAAACTTATTAAAACAATTCATGAAATATCAAAGGTCAACCACATTGGTTTGCAAAGATATAGGGATTAGAAAATGAGAATTTGTGACAAAGACGCAGGTTACAATGCACCGGGTTTGACAGTGACTTTTGATAAAATTCTGGAAATTGAGTACATTTCTTCTTCAGATTTTGTACTTCGTAAACATGATTTTGTAGTATCACACTTAAAACATTTAACAACATAAACTACTAGTCTTGGGATTTCCAAAAAGTGTTCTACCATCACCTGAAAAGAGATATTAGGAAATGTTTTCAGATTCCAGTTAATTCAAAATCAACAAAACCTTTCAAATGTTAAATATCTCCTTCCATTTTAAAGATAAAAGAAGGTAGACCACATTTTGGAAAGCTCGGTAGACGTGCAATCTTTTTATGATGCATTTTATCAATTATCGTAAATCAAAGACGATACTAAAGTAGAATCTAAATTCCCATGTTTATTGGGACACCCTGTATAATCATGCAACATACGAACCTCCAACTAAAAGTTGCACAACTGATGTAACCAAAAGAATTACCCAACCCCAGCCGCCCTAAATAAAAAAAACATTTAAAATAACTTTTTTTTTAAAGAAATATATTGTTTGTCTTATTAAACTTACGGAAAACTTTTTAAATTATACACATTTCGATCTAAATTACAAACAAATATGGGAGTTGTCATTAACTTCATGTTCTTAATTTTAAACAAAATCCAAATTATAAAGCTCTTCGCTCTTATATTTACATTTGTATGTCTGTATATATGTTAGCTATAGCTGGACAAAATGGCTAGATCAAAATGTCTGAAAAATTTTGAAGGAATCCATGAGTATCCTGGGTGTAACTTAGGCTAAACAATTCGAATTTTTTTCTTTCAAAAAAAAATTTCTTCAAAATTAAATTTTTTTCTTGAATAATTTTTAAAAGTTTTTTTTTAATTCTACGTGCATAGCCGGGCACTTAAGCTAGTTAGTGTTCTATAATTTTAAATGTTCTCAATAGTTTGATATTTTCTTTAAACAGTGTGAAGATGGACTTTTTAATAAATTACCTCTGGATAGTAATGCGCCTTCAATGTTCTGAGTTCACGAAGTTTTTGTAAATCCCCCTGAACTTGCGCACTATGCTAAATAAAGAAACCCTATGTCTGAGCTGAAAACTTTAGAATTGTGGATATTGGATATTGAGATTAATGCTTAATCTCTCTTTTTATTAATCTCATGATTAATCTAATCTTTAGTTTGTATCCAGAAAAGTATATAAATTCACCCTATCAGAGTGGCGAATGCAGAATCCCGAACTAGTAATCAGAAGCCGTAAAATTTAAGAAACTTTTAAAATTTTGCGTGCCTTTTATTGAGAGAACTCTCATTGGTTGGAATCCGGTAGGGGTACAGTGAAACCCTTAATAACGAATACATCGGAGAATTTATCAAATATCTCTTGACAATTTTTCAATGAGTTTTATACTATATTACGTAAATTTCAGTATTTGCGAAAATAAATAAATAGCCATGAATATGCGGGAACAGTTTTAAAGAGTTCCATTTAATCATTTAATTAAAAAACTAAATATCTGCAACATTCCCTTATCGGAAAGTGAAGAATACGACATTTGATGAATTCTTTCGATGTATTCGTTATTAAGGGTTTCACTGTATCCAAAAAGGAGGGGGAAGTGGCTGAAGTAGAATTTAAAGCAGTTCACAGTGAATGTAAAGATTAAGTGATCGGTATTAAGGGTATTTCTCATATGACGACCTACAGCAATAAATCGATCATTATTGTCATACCATGTCCTAAAACAATGTTGACCCAAATATAAGGGATGCAGCATAATCTTCATCAAATGAACTAAATATCCGCGGTATAAACTTATTGAAGGTTTAAATTTTGTTTTTAATGGATTGGTGATATCATTAACGAATTGAGTCAGATAGGTTGGAGTGTAATTAAGAGAATATATCAAAACTGAAAAGTTTTGATCTTTGGTTTATTTAGACTAGTCACCTGGCTGCCTCGCTCTATATTGATTTTAATCAGAGGTTGATAATTCTCATGGATACAGGTACAAGCAACAGCAGCAGGCTCTTCAAGATCAGCTTCAGACTTATAAATATCAGGATCAGCTTCATACTTATAAATATCAAGATCAGCTTTAGACTTATAAATATCAGGATCATCTTCAGATTGATAAATATCAAGATCAGCTTCAGACTTATAAATATCAAGATCATCTTCCGACCTATAAATATCAAAAACAGCTTCAGACTTATAAATATCAAGATCAGCTTCAGACTGATGAATATCAAGATCAGCTTCAGACTGATGAATATCAAGATCAGCTTCAGACTGATGAATATCAAGATCATCTTCAGACTCATAAATATCAAGATCAGCTTCAGACTAACAAATATTAAGATCAGTTTCAGACTGATGAATATCAAGATCATCTTCAGACTCATAAATATCAAGATCAGCTTCAGACTGACAAATATTAAGATCAGTTTCAGACTTATAAGTATCTAGATCAGCTTCAGACTGATAAATGTCAATGCCATTTATAGAATAATAAATATCTAGATCAGCTTTAGACTTTTAATAATCAAGGCTTGCAGTCTTAGAGAAAGAGTTTTAGACCCCTCCAATTTGGAACAGTACCCTTTCAACCGTTCTCATTAATAGTGTAGCGTTTCTAGCAGGGAAATGTTTAAAAAATATCAGTCTTAAAAGTTCCAAATATTCATTAAAGCACTGTAAGAACTGGAATCTTTATCTACCTGTGGTTCGCTGGGTTGAATACCGCTACCAATACTTGGAAAATCCGCCAAATATTCTGCTATATCTCCTGAACATTGCACAGTAAAATTTGAATTTTCATCATTTGCATTCTAAAGTTGTTTTGAATTTTTAATGGTGAATAAACCTTTTTTAACGAGTTCATTTTTTTTAGTGAATTAAGGGGGGATATTATTTAGTGAATTAAGGGGGGATATTATTTAGTGAATTAAGGGGGGATATTATTTAGTGAATAGGGAGGAAGATATTAAGAGGATACGGCTAATGTTATCAAGTGGATAAGGGGGGGGATGATATTAAGGGGGTGTTATAAGTTTATACGGGGGTTGTTGTTATGTTGATAGGTAGGGGGTGTTTTTAAGTGGTTAAGGGGGGTGACAAACCTTCAAAATTTGGTTCCTCTGCCAATAACTTTGCCAGCTCATCCTAGATAAAAAATAACTGAAAATGAAAATACAAATATTATCGTATTCCACACAATTTTTTTTCTTTTTAACTTTTAATTCCAGGTATTTCAATAGTTTCTTTAAACATTTTTAATTTGAAAATTGGTTCTTTTATCATTTACCTTTCTGCAGAAATAAAAAATGGCTTTAAATTCACATTAAAGAAAAAAACATGCAAATAAAATAAGGGGATGAGCATGCGAAGCAGAATATCTTGCATGGAATTCAATGAAAACGTTGGAACGGATTTTGCACACAATTCTTTTGATATGTAAACTTTTTTTACATTGTTTGGTGATGAGTGCCAAATGATTTTCCGCAAAACTGGCCGAAAGTTTTTGCACATCGCTGGCAAACTTATCAATGCTGGAAACCATTTAAAAACTAAAACTGGTTCACCTTTGGTAGTTCCCTAGTCCTATAAACTGCTCCTAGTGAGTAGTGCGATGAACAACCTAAAATAATCAGCTGATTACAATCAATCAATCAATTAAAAATTTTTAAAAAATCTCCCGCCAACCATTAAGGTCAGTTTTCCAAACCAAACTTATACATTCTTGACTTTTAAAACGTACTTCTTACCTGAATCACATTCGTCTTCCATTTTTTTGTAATTTTTTTTCTACGATAAATAAAACATGTTTTTTATGTTTACAATAATGAAATCAATAAATTAGAAAAATAGCACTTTCAGGTGTACATTTTACGTCATAGCTGAAGACAGAAATAAAGAATGTATGCCAATCTAAAGACCTTTATCTCCATGTGCAGTATTAATTTTACTGTAAATTAATGTTTTTTGGCATAAAACTATTGATTTTAATTACCCTCCACCTAAACATTCGATTTTGCCAAAATATTATTAGATCATAAATATTACTCTTAAAGTGAACTAACCCAAATTTATTGGGGAGAAGAAATTTAAACAACTGTTGTTTTTTCTGTTAATTGGACTATTCAAGATCATCACTTGAGTCTAACAATTGGTTTCCTAGTTCAACATATTATGGATCCCCCTGTATGTCCAAGCAAGGAATGCACTTGTACTTCTGTTTGATCTTTATAGAAGAACTATCTCTGCGCTCTTGTCGGAGAAAAGTCCGTAGAATTCTACTCAACGGAGAGTTACTCTTCCAACCTTGGTTAAACAATATCGGAGAATTTGCGGGGAAACTTTGACTAATAAAGAAACCGATAGATAAAATTTATAATCTTTATATCATTGGAGCCTGATGTTGCACACCTTAGATATTTCACTCCAGTCTAAAAGTTACATGATCTGTGCCGGTACAACACGAACAGTATATGCATTCCGTCGTACTGTCTAGTCTGGAATACCCAGTGTAGAGTCGACCCAGTACGTTATATGCAACAAATGTAGCCTGGCAAGATCACAGTACATTATATCTATAAATCAGTATAGCTAGATCAGTAAAGTTTAAAATATCAAAGTAAAATTCAAAAAATCCCAATAATGAATAATTTTTTCTACATATAAAATCTTGCTGAAATCATAGCTGTTGTCAATTTTTGTAAAAACAAACATTATTCTTGTGCTTTTGTATAAAATTTATATATCTTTGCAAAGTGATTGTGTACAGCTTTAATATGTCTTTGATATGTATTTTGTTGAATTGACAAAAATATAAAATGTTTACGACAACGTATTGCAAAGATATAGGGATTAGGTTTGTGGCAAAAACTTAGTTTCTTAACGCACATAATTCTTTCTAAGAATTTAAACAGTTGAAGTTAAAGTATTCAATTATATATGATTAACAAATTCAAGAAGTTAAAGAAATCTAGTGCAAGCCCTTTTTGTTTTGTACAACTATAAAGGGATGGTAGACTTAAAGACCCCCCCCCCCATCTCAGGATAGGGTTTACTCTCTTTATATCCCCCCTCTTCTCAGGATAGGGTTTACTCTCTTTATATCCCCCCTCTTCTCAGGATAGGGTTTACTTTTTACTCTCTTTTTATCCCCCTCTCTTCTCAGGATAGGGTTTACTCTCTTACTATCCCCCCTCTTCTCAGGATAGAGTTTACTCTCTTTCTATCCCCACTCTTCTCAGGATAGAGTTTACTCTCTTTATATCCCCCTCTTCTCAGGATAGGGCTTACTCTCTTTCTATCCCCATTCTTCTCAGAATAGGGTTTACTCTCTTTATATCCCCCCTCTTCTCAGGATAGAGTTTACTCTCTTTATATCCCCCCTCTTCTAAGGATAGGGTTTACTCTCTTTATATCCCTCTCTTCTCAGGATAGGGTTTACTCTCTTTATATCTCCCCTCTTCTCAGGAAAAGGTTTACTCTCTTTAAATCCTCCCTCTTCTCAGGATACGATTTACTCTCTTTATATTCCCCTCTCTTCTCAGGATAGGGTCTACTCTCTTTATATCCCCCTCTTCTCAGGATAGGGTTTACTCTCTTTATATCCCCCCCTCTTCTCAGGATAGGGTTTACTCTCTTTAAATCCCCCCTCTTCTCAGGATACGATTTACTCTCTTTATATTCCCCTCTCTTCTCATGATAGGGTTTACTCTCGTTATATCCCCCCCTCTTCTCAGGATAGGGTTTACTCTCTTTATATCCCCCTCTTCTCATGATAGGGTTTACTCTCTTTATATCCCCCCTCTTCTCAGGATAGGGTTTACTCTCTTTATATCCCCCCTCTTCTCAGGATAGGGTTTACTCTCTTT